TTTAATTTTTAAAAAAGTAAATGTTGCCCTAACCGGTTTGGCTCAGCGGATAGAGCGTCGGCCTGCAGACTCAAGGGTCCCAGGTTCGATTCCGGTCAAGGGCATGTACCTTGCTTGTGGGCACATCTCCCGTGGGGAGTGTGCAGGAGGCAGCTGATCGGTGATTGATGTTTCTAACTCTCTATCCCTCTCCCTTCCTCTCTGTAAAAAATCAATAAAATATATAAAAATAAAAATAAAAAAAATAAAAAAGTAAATGTTGATAGCATTGAGAGTTGGTGAGATGTGGACAACTGTCATATGCTGTGGGTGGGACTGTAAAGTGGTGCAGCCACTCTGCGGGCAGTTTGCCAAGATCTATTAAAACTGAAAACAAGCCTGTACCCTCTGACTCAGCAATTCCATTTCTTTCCCCAGAATCTTCCCCAGAGAGATACTAGCCTGTGTGCCCAGGGAGGCAGTGCAACGGTGCATTGTTGGGTATAGTCAGAGACTGGAAACAACCTAAATATCCAGCAATAGGGGAATGGCTTAAATAAACTGCAGCGTGTCCACAGCATGAAAAACTGCACAGCACTAAAGAAAAGAAAAATGAAGTAAATGTATTCTTACATGGGTAGATTTTCAAGGCATATTATTGAGTAAGGAAAGAAAGTTGTGGAATCATATGTATGTTCTGATACTGTTATATAGTTTTCAAAATCAAAAGTATGTGCTTGCCCTAGCCGGTTTGGCTCAGTGGATAGAGCATCAGCCTGTGGACTGAAGGGTCCCAGGTTCGATTCTGGCCAAGGGCACATGCCTCGGTTATGGGCTCGATCCCCAGTGTGATGGGGCGTGCAGGAGGCAGCCGATCACTGATTCTCTCTCATCATGGATATTTCTATCTCTCCCTCTCTGAAATCAATAAAGATATATATATATATATATATATATATATATATATTTTTTTTTTAAAGTATGTACTTTAGGGTATAAGCTATGCCATTATAACAGAGAGAGATCCCCAAATAAAAAAAGGCTGAAATGAGGTATCATCTTTCTTTCTCTCAGAATAGTCCAGAGGGAGGTATGGTCCAGGGTGAGTGGTATTCCAGTTACCTGTCACTGCATAAAACAGCAATCACTGCTTTTTTGCTCATGGATCCTGTGGGTCAGGAATTTAGACAGGGCATAGTCTGGATAACTTGACTGTGCTCTGTGATGCCAAGAGGCCGTGGCTGGGAAGACTTGAATAGCTGGCAGTAGCTCCCATGGCTGGGGCTGGAGTCATCTGGAGGTTTCTGTGCCTCTGTGTGCCTGAGCTGGAATGACAAGAAGGTTTGTCATTCCAGTGAGGACTGTTTATCCGAGTGTCTACCTGTGACTCCTCCATGTAATTAGGGTTTCCATACAGCATGGTAGCCTCAGGGTAGTTGAACTTTTTGCTGTAAGAGTGAGTGTTTCCGTAAGTAAGGCCAAAGCATATGTCTTTCTACGACATGTTCTCAGAAATTATATAGTGTCACTTTTGCTCTATCTATGTATCTATCATCTATCTTTCTATCTAGCTATGTGGTCAAGCCAGCCACAAGCCTACATATATTTAAGGGGAGAGAACAGAGACCCCCACCTCTCGATGTGAGGATTGCTAAAGGATGGGCGATCAAGTTTTTAAACCATTACAGGTTGGAAGTTCCGTCATAGGAGGTCATGTGGGATCCTTGTTGGTTTGGCGAGGGAAGGCACAGTGGGCTTTGCTATTTGTATCATGTAGCTTTCATCTCTGGTTTCAATGTAACGGGACCCGTAGCTGCCATATACCAGCCAGGGAAAGGGAGAGTGGAGGCCAAGCAGTCCCTTATAAAAATGTAATTCAGAACTACTACACACCACTTCTGTCCACCTCCTACTGGATAACTGAGTCAGACTGCTACCTCTAGCTGCAAGGGAGGCTGAGAAATGTAGTCTGTAGGCCACATGTCTAGCTATAGGTCTGTGGGGTCCTGTTGGTAAAACGCAGCAAAGGAGAATAAATATTAGGGACAATTAGTGTTTGCAAGTGTGTTTTTCACATATATGTCTATATATTTATGTGTATATATAGAAATAGGTCTATATAAAATATAGAAATATGTAGATACATAGAACAGTCTGGAAGAATACATAGGAAAAGGTCTAGAAGCAACTGGCAACTGTGGTTACTTCTGGGGATGGGGGAGAAGGACAGGGATGTGTTCAAAGCTGACTCCAGCCATAACTGTTGTGTTTTAATGTTTTATAAGGATAATGTCTTCCCATTTTACTTTGAAATTAAATATTAATTCAAGCTGAAGAGGGCCTGGTAAGCATCTGGCTGCTGATGTTGCAGTCTTGGTCTTATCTCCCCGTGGTGGCACCCAACCCCAAAGAGTGCCAAGGAGGTCACATGGCTCTTATCTTCCAGGAGCCGCAGCTGGTGTTGCCCGGACACTCAGTCCAACGGCCCCACCTTCTTGAGAACTATAGTCAGGGGGTCTCTGCCTCCGTTCTCCCCATGGAGACCCCCTGACTAGACTGCAGTAGATATTGGTTGTAAGTGGATGGCTGTTTTGGGACTGAAGAATTCAAAAGTGATTAAAACACAGCCTGTCTCTCTACAGATCGCTCATTATTAACTACAGATAGAAAGCTGGTCGCTGTGCAACGGGGAAAGCAGGTGGCACCGCCTCCTCTAAGCAGTTAGCGTTAACATCACGGACACTGTGTCCCTCCGGATGGGAGACGCTGAGGACACAGTGTCACTTTAGTGGCATTCTTGCTCCAACAGCATAACCCAGGTCCAATCATGAAGAAACAACAGACCAACCCAGGCGGAGGGACATGCCCCAAAACTAGACTCAACTCCTTAAAAAATGTGGATGTCACGATAGACAGAGAAAGGTTGAGGAGCTGTGCTAGACTAAAGGAGGCTAACGATGCAAGCAGTAGTACAAGGCAGGAGCCTGAGTCGGGTCCGGGATCTGGGGGGGACATTGCCATCAATGGACAGTTAGCAAGATGTGAGGTCATGGTATTGTGTGGGATCAAGGTTGCATTGTCTGAATTTGGTCATTGTACTGTGGATGTAAGAGAATGTCATCATTTTTAGGAAATGCACACGAAGAATTGCGGAGTAAAGAAGCATGTTGTCTATCTATAGCTAACTCCCAAATGGTTTAGAAAAGGAGGAGGCAGACTTTTTTTTGGCACAAAAGCCAAATAGTGAGGACTCTAGGCTCTGCAGGCCATATGGTCTTTGTCATAACTACTCACTCTGCTGTTTCCAGAGAGGCCCCAGGCAATATGCAAATGAACGGGTGTGGCTGCGCTCTATTATGGCTACTGAAATTTCAAATTTCGTATACTTTCATGTCACAAACTATTCTTCTGATTTGTTTTAACCAAGGAAAAACCATTGTTAACTTACTGCCCGCACAAAAATCTGGATTTGGCTGGATTTGGCCCGTGGGCTATAAATTCCTGTTGCCTGATATCGAAAAAGAACACACACACACACACACACACACACACACACACACACACACACACACACACGGCGAGGGTGGTGGTGGTGGTGGTGGTGGTGGTGCGTAAAGCAAATATGGAAAGATGGTGTAATGCTAACAGTTGGTGAATCTGGGTGAAGGGTAGAGGGGAGTTCTTTCTACTCTTCTTAGAATGCTTCTGCAAGTGTGAAATTATTGAAAGATAAAAAGTTAAATAAAATAGAGATAGGATTTTCCTCTCTGGGGGGCCAGCAAGGAGCAACTTTATGATACTGTTTGAATCCGAGGGACTGAGCCCTCTCGTCTGGGAGCCAAGGGAGACTTGCTCACCACGTGCCTCAGTGTTTCCCCTAATTGCTATCTACTCACTTCATTTTCTTCACTTCTCCCTTATCTGCTGGCTTACCCTGCATATTTAGGGGCCTTGCTTGGCAGGCATGAATGAGAATTTAGGCTCTGGCCTCACTGTTGGACCATCTCCTTTTTCTCTCCCTCTACTAAATACAGTTCTCCTCCAGCCACTTAAATGTGTTCATTGGATTATTATATTTAATTTCATGGCTCCCGTCCCTCACATTGGTTTCTCCAAATGGTTAGTATTTGTCTTAGGTGATCAGATTAGAGGCAAGGGCTTGTTTCCCGCCACATGGCACTATTTGGGGGAGGTGCATTGTTGTGGCAGCAATGCCGAGAAGTTACTGTGTTCCTTTCTCCCAGCTTTGGGGCAAAGTCTCTTGTATTTCTTGTGGCCCTGACTGGTTATTTCCAGGAATGAGGTATTGAGTTAATTGGAGCGACTGTGCCCGGGGTAGGCAGGGTTGGCTGTAAGGGAAGGGGTATGACCTTTCCTTAGTTGATGTGGTAAGAACTCTCTTCATTGCCAGGATCAGAAACCCAACTCAGACCAGCCTCACTGAAAAGGAATTTATGAATTCATATAACCAAGAGTATTGAATAGCATTACACTCAGACCTGGTTAGATCCAAGGGCTGAAATGAGGCTATGAGAATTCTGTCTCTCACCATGTCTCAGGTCTGTTTTCCTGTTTGGCTTTATTCTTAGGCAGGCTCTCCCCACCCAGCAACCCCATGTGTACATGCTATCAGATGAGCAAACCCAGGAGAAAGAGGGCATCTCTACACCAGTTCTTCCAGCAGGGTCCCAGGGCTGACTCTCAGTGGCCCATTTAAGCCTTGTGTCCATGTCTGAACCAGTTGCCAAGGGATTGGAAGTACTGATTGGTCAGGCCTGGATCACATGACCACTCTTGGCATGAGGACTGTCAGCTCTACTGGAACCATCTGGACTAAGAATTGACAAGAAGTGGCCCTTCAAAGTCAGACCTAGTTGCTGTTACCATTAGGAAGGAAGGGACTTGGGCAAGAAAGAAAACAGTAATTCCTTATTACACAAGGGCTGTGCTGTGCGCCTTCCCCAATTCCAGTCCCAGTTTTCTAAGCCCCAGATTTGATAGTTGTACTTGTATCGTCCTAGCTGTCAAATTGTGAGCTCTGCAATCATGTCCCCTGACACAAACAATGACAAGTGACCTGTTGGTGTTCTCCTCTACGCCTGCCCGGGCTGCTCCATCCCTCAGGAAACCCACAGGATCTACAGGCAGAAGTTGGAGGAGCTGACTGCGCTCCAGACTCTGTGTAGCAGCTCCATCAGCAAGCACAAGACGCGCCTGAAGGACCTGAAGCGCACGCTCCAGAGGTAGGCGGGGCTGCGATTCACAGCTCCCCTGGTTCTCAGGGTCAGAGACCCAGCTCAACACTGGCTTGAGCAGAGAATGGACAATTTTATTAGAATATATTTTTATTACCCTGACCGGTTTGGCTTAGTGGATAGAGCGTCGGCCTGCGGACTGAAGGGTCCCAGGTTCGATTCCAGTCAAGGGCACATACCTTGGTTGAGGGCACATCCCCAGTAGGAGTGTGCAGGAGGCAGCTGGTTGATGTTTCTAACTCTCTATCCCTCCCCTTCCTCTCTGTAAAAAATCAATAAAATATATTTAAAATACACACACACACACACACACACACACACATTATTGATTTCAGAGAGGAAGGGAGAGGGAGAGAGAGATAGAAACATCAATGATGAGAGACAATCATTGATCGGCTGCCTCCTGCATGCCCCACACTGGGGATCGAGCCCACAGCTGGGTCATGTGCCCTGACCAGGAATTGAACTGTGACTTCCTGGTTCATAGGTTGACGCTCAATCACTGAGCCATGCCAGCGAGGCAGAGAATGGAAATTTTAATGGAAAAAATCCAGAAGTGGCTTTAGGATCCAGGGGTCAAAGGATGTTTTTAGGAATCTGTTTTTTCCCTCTAAATTCTGCATTTCCCTAGATTGGCTTCACGCTATGACTAACCATCCATCCTCTCATGGTCACTGAGATGGCCACCAGCAGTGCCAGGCTCATATCCTGCAGCCTTTCTTCCTACTGGCTTGGGCACCCCAGCCTAAGGAGAACTTGTCTTTTAGCACAAGTTCTGGGAGCAGTTCTCATTGGCTGGAATTGGTCATGTGCCCATCTTTGAACCAATCAAATCACCAAGACTGGTTAGGCAAGACTAGGTCATATGCTCAGTTTATGGACCTTGGGAATGGGACAGCCCTACTTAAACCACATGGAGGGGGAAGAGGATGACAGGTAGTTCCCCAGAGGAAAACTGTTATAAGAAGTCCTGCTGGGCAGGTAAACATTAACTACACTTCTCAGGCGCGTGGGGGCTCCCTCCACCAGGCTGTCTGATGTAGGGGTAAGAGGTCTGGCATCCCTGGTGGAGATACACTTGAGCTCATCACTGAGGTCAGTTCCTGAGGCCAGGATTACATGTTCCGCTTCCAGTCCTTGTGTCTCTCTGGTTTCGGAAGTGCTCTCATCCCCGTAGGCGAACAGGTCCAGTGGATGCTGTGATCCCTCAGTCGGGCAGACATCTGAGGCTCTGAGTGGCTTGTCCCCGGTCACTTTCATGGGCTTCTATTCCAGAGTGTGTGGCTCCGGGTCACTTTTTCCCTTCCCTCGTGGACAATTCTTGGGAAGGTTATTGATTGTACCCCTCGCCTTAGCTGACCATTTGGGAAACGGAGGCCCATTAGTCGTGGGGTAAAGTGTAAATGGTTTAATGCAGTGACATCGTCACTCTTGGAAAAGCACATCTTACCGATGGCAGGACTTCAGAGTCTCTTACATCTGCCGGGGGTTTTTCAGCCTTGGCACGAAAGATAATTCTCGGCTGTTGGGGGCTGCCCTGTGGGTTGTAGAATGTTTAGCAGCATTGCTGGCCTCTGCCCACAGATGCCAGTAACACCCTCCGCTCAGTCTTGACAACCAAAAAGTTCCCAGACATCGCCACTGAGAACCACTGGGTAGAAGGTTGGCCCCTGACTTAGGTTCTTACACTGAAGACAACCCCTGCTCCCAGAATGTCTGTGACTTGTTTTTCTAGTCTTGAAAGACTAACAATTAGACCTTGATTAGTTTACTGTTTATGCTGTTTTCTTTTTTTACTTAATTTTTATTGTTGACACTACTATAGATGTCCCCATTCCCTGCCCTACCCTTTGCCCACCTCTACCCACCTCTGACTGCTTATACTTTTATTTTTATTATTTTATATTTATTTATTTTTAAAAATATTTTTATTGATTTCAGTGAGGAAGGGAAAGGGAGAGAGAGTTAGAAACATCAATGATGAGAGAGAATCATTAATCGGCCGCCTCCTGCACGTGCCCCACTGGGGGTCGAGCCTGAAACCGGGCATGTGCCCTGACCGGGAATCAAACCGTGACCTCCTGGTTCATAGGTCGAAGCTCAACCACTGAGCAACCCTGGCCAGGCTGCTTATTCTTTTAAAGTGCCATCCTGTCTCCCTCTTAGTAATCTTCAGCTTATTCCTGTAGAATAGCGAGCAGAGCCCCAGTCCCTTTGTGTCCCAGCTTAGTTTGCAAAAGACATTGACATATAATAATTCTTCTCTATTGTAAGCTTTCCATTTAGTTTACTCCCCATGATTAAATCAAAGTCATTTGGGAAAAAAAAGAATAGAGGAATAATATTGCTAGTAGTTTTCCACTGTGCTAAATACTTTAAATTGCATTTACTCATTTACTTGTCGCAGTGGTATTTCCAGAAGGTAGTCTTGATATTATTCCTATTTTTTTAAATAAGGAAAATAAGGCAGAGAGGTTAAAAGACATTCCCAAGGTCACAAGGCTTAGCAGGGAGCTTGCATCAAACCCAGGGAATACAGGTGGAGATTGAGGTTGCGAGAAACATTGAGAGGGAAGAGTGGGAGGGCAGTGGCCAGAGCTTCCAGGTTCTTCCTCCAGGCTGCTAACGCCCCTGCTTCTCCTATGCCCACACCTCTGACCGCAGGTACAAGCGCCGTGCCAGTCTGGAGGAGGCGGAGCTGGTTCAGCAGATAGATGTCACCATCAAGGAACGGCAGAACATCTTCTTTGACATGGAGGCCTACCTGCCCAAGAAGAACGGGTAGGAGCTGGGAACTTACACACCCCACTGCCCACCCCCTGCTGGGGCAGACACCCAGGTCTAGGACACCTGGTCTGCATAATTCTCACCTTCCCATTAGGGCTTGAGGTTGAGGGGGAAAGACAGAAGGAAAGAAAAGGAGGCTTCCTCACATGTTTCTCCATGGGTCAGGCACTGACTGGGCGGGGCTGGAAGTGTTTTATTATTTGATCTGGTTGCAGGGATGCATAAATATGTAAAAATCCATCACATTGTATACTTAAGACTTGTGTACTTTTTTAAAAATTGAGTTTTAGAAAAAGAGAAGAAGGGAGAGGGAGAAAGAAGCACCAATTTGCTGTTCCACTTATTTATGCATTCATTGGTTGATTCTTATAAAAACTGCGCCCTGGTGGGTTTTGAACCTGCAACCTTGGTGTGTCTGGTCAATGCTCTAACCAATGGAGCTACTCAGCCAGAGCAAGACTTATGTACTTTTGAAGGTTATGCCTTCATTTTAAAAAGAGCCTGCTTTAAATTGACCTAGATATTGTACATATACCTTCACCTCATTGGCTGGCGCTGAGTCACATGCTCACATTAGCTGCAAGGGAAGCTGGGAAATATGGGGAGGAAAACGGGTCAGTCATGACTGTCATGTGTCACAGTCCTCCCGTTCTCTAGTTAATCGTTATTCGCACTCGATGTGAGGCCCATTGTACTGCTGAGTTTAGCATCGTATGTTCTGTGTTGGCTTTTCAATGCATGCCTATTACGTTTGAATATTTTTGGTTGGGGCTGCCCCCAGGGCTGTTAGGGACGTGGCGACTTCACAGGTCTTTCCTTCCAGGCTCTACTTGAATCTGGTCCTCGGCAACGTGAGCGTGACCCTCCTCAGCAACCAGGCCAAGTAAGTGTCCCAGACGCCCACTGGCTTTACAGAACCCAGGCATTGTGCTTTCAATTCAGGAGAGATGGGACCAAGCTAGAACTTCTGCGTAAAGGAAAAAACTTGAACAGGTGGTGCTCTGGCTCTTGGTCTCTCTGACTAACCCCCGGGGAAAGGCTTCCTTCATGGGTTCCGTATGTTGGGTGGACAGGACCGCCAGTTTCCCGTGAGAAATGGCTCTGCTCCATTCCTCGTCTGTCTCATACACTTTTCTCCTGGGAAGCAGACAGTTGTGTCCAGCCACAATCTGTCAAGTTTCTAGGGAGGTGGAGCCGTGGCGTTTTGGGGGAGGGGACCCTGTCTCGCTCCCTAATTGACGTCACCATTCATTTAAGGTCCAGTCTCTTCTTTAGTGGGATCACAAGGTCCTAATGGGGTGTGGTTGGCAGTATGTCAAGGATCCAATGGGGCAAGGGTCCTGCCCCCAATGGGATGTAGTTATACTACCGTAAATGTAGTAACAGTCACGCGACCTTTCCCGGGCATGTCTGTTGCCGTAGATTTGCCTACAAGGACGAGTATGAGAAGTTCAAGCTCTACCTGACCATCATCCTGCTCCTGGGGGCTGTGGCCTGTCAATTTGTCCTTCACTACAGGTAAGGCAGCGTGGCGGTGGGGGACATGCTGGGGAGAGAGGGGACCGTGAGAGAGGGATCCAGGGACCCTCCTGCATCCACCGTGTTTGTGTGATGAGGTGTCGATAGAGAAGGGCCATTTCTCATGAGAAATAGCAGTCCTGTTCGCCATAATCCCTCCAATAATATCTACTAAAGGGCTGCTGCAGAGGCCTCGAGTGCAGTCAGGAAAAAGCCCGGTTTGGCCATGTTCGCACAATGGAATAGTATTTGCTTGTAAAAGGAAATGACGTTCTGACACAGGCTACAGCACAGATGAATCTGGGAAACATTACAGGGTGAGGCAAAAGTGGGTTTACAGTTGTGAGTATGTGAAACACAGAGTTGATTCTTGTATTGTTGTTTATTAATGATGGTGTTATTTTCCATAAGAAAACTGTAAACCTCCATTTGTATGTTAAGTGAAAGAAGCTGGTCACAAAAGGTTACGTAGTGTATGATTCCATTTATGTGAAATGTTGAGAACAGGTAAATCCATAGAGACTGACAATAGATTAGTGGATGCCAGGGGTTGGCGGGGGCAGGGAATGGGAAGGGACTGCAGATGGGTGTGGGTTTCTTTGGGAGTGATGAGAATGTTCTGGAATTAGGTAGTAGTGATGGATGCACAACATTGTGAATACACACACACACAAAAACACACCAAATGTATACTTTAAGAGGGTGAATTTTATGGTGTGTGAGTTATATATCTCAATTACAAAAAGAAAGAGGGAGGAAGGGAACAAAAAGCAAGGAAAGAAAGAGAGAGGGAATAGCTCACAGAGAACCTTGGTTTGCTCGTGACTTTGAGACTAATTGGCTGTTACCATAGGCAGGTTCCCTCCGGGGGCCTCCATGTCCCCGTCTGTAAAACGAGGGTGACACCAGTGCCCACCTCACAGGGTTCTCACGTGTTAACACTGTACGTGGAGGGCTCTGTCCAGCATGTGCCACCCAGCAGTGCATTGAGGACAAGGCCAGGGGCTGAAGCCACACTGCCCCAGGGGGGTTCATGTCTCCATGTGGTTTTCTGCCCCAGGGGAGGCGGCCAAGCACAGCTTGGGCATTTGGCCCAGGTGTTAAGGGTTTATTTCCTAGCAGACGCTTGGCTGGGAGTCCACTTGCTGGTCTGGCCACTTGAATGTCCAAAACAAAGGCTCATTTAGGCCCTGGACCCGTGCCTGCCTTGCTGCCTTGGGCCTGGCCCGTTTCCCTGGAGGGCAAAGGCTGCACCCATCAGTAATGCCAGCTCACATGCCCCTCTGGAAGGGGGTGAAAGTTCTCAATGAGCAACCAGATTCCTGTGCTGGGACCTCTGGGCCCTCAGAGGGCAGACCTGTGGCTTGTTGTGTAGTTAGTTCCAGGGCTCACTGCGGGCCTGGATGTTCCCACTGCTCCCCACCCCGTTCTGTCTTCCTTTCCAAGGGGTGTCGTAACAAGCACCACAAGCTGGTGCCTCGAAACAACAGAAACAGATCCTCTCCAGTCTGGAGGCCACAAGCCTGAAATGAGGTGTGGGTGGGACGGTACTCCCTCTGCAGGCTGAGTGCTTCCTTGCTTTTCCAGCTCCTGGTGGTCACTGGCCACCTTTCGTGTTCCGTGGCTTAAAGCTGTTTCACTCCAGTCTCTGCCTCACGTGCCTCAGTCTTTTCACTCCCGACCTTTCGTGTTCCGTGGCTTAAAGCTGTTTCACTCCGGTCTCTGCCTCACGTGCCTCAGTCTTGCCAGGTGGCCTCCTTCCCTGTGTTTTTATGAGTCTCTCTCATGACCTTCTTAGGAGGATACCAGTCCTTCGATTTAGGGCCCACCCTAACCCAGTGTGACCTCCTCTTTTTTTTTTTTAATATATTCTATTGATTTTTTACAGAGAGGAAGGGAGAGGGATAGAGAGTTAGAAACACCGATGAGCCGAAACCGGTTTGGCTCAGTGGATAGAGCGTCGGCCTGCGGACTGAAAGGTCCCAGGTTCGATTCCGGTCAAGGGCATGTACCTGGGTTGCGGGCACATCCCCAGTAGGAGATGTGCAGGAGGCAGCTGATCGATGTTTCTCTCTCATCGATGTTTCTAACTCTCTATCTCTCTCCCTTCCTCTCTGTAAAAAATCAATAAAATATATTTTTTAAAAAAAGAAAAGAAACACCGATGAGTGAGAAACACCGACCAGCTGCCTCCTGCACACCCCCCACTGGGGATGTGACCGCAACCAAGGTACATGCCCTTGACTGGAATCGAACCCGGGACTCCCCAGTCTGCAGGCCAACGCTCTATCCACTGAGCCAAACCGGTCACGGCTGACCTCCTCTTAACTAATTACATTTACAAGGACCCAATTTCCAAATAAGGTCATATTCTGAGGTCCTGATGCTTAACCTTTGACAAATAACTTAACTTTGCCCTGCTTTGGTTTCTTCATAGAGAGTGAGGATAACAGGCCTGGCTGGGATGGCTCAGTGGTTGAGCATTGACCTATGAACCGGGAGGTCACGGTTTGATTCCTGGTCAGGACATATGCCCTGGTTGCAGGCTTGATCCCCAGTGTGGGGCGTGCAGGAGGCAGCCAATCAATGATTCTCTCTCATCATTGATGTTTCTATTTCTCTCTCCCTCTCCCCTGCTCTCTGAAGTCAATAAAAATATATTTCTTAAAAAAGAAAAAGTCCCATCAGCAGATGAGTGGATTAAAAAACTGTGGGATGAAATACTACGCCGCTATAAAAAAGAAGGAACTTTTACCATTTGCAACAGCATGGATGGAACTGGAGAGCATTATGCTAAGCGAAATAAGCCAGTCGGAGAAAGATAAATATCACATGATCTCACTCATATGTGGGATATAATGATCAACATAATTTGATGAACAAGAATAGATTCAGAGACAAATGTTAGGGAAGGGGGCGGGGGAGGTTAGAGAACAACCTAAGGACTTGTATGCATGCATATGACTGGGGGAGGGGTGTCAATTGGGGAAAAAGGAGACATATATAAAACTGTAGACAATAAAAAAAATTTTTTTTAAAAAAGTGAGGAAAAGGGGAGCTACCCAGCAGCACGGTGGTGAGGATGAGATGAGGTACTGGCACACAAGCAGTCGTTATTGCCACCGTTATTTCCCGCTACGCTGGGCAGGCAGGGAAAAGATCACAGGCAGGGAAAAGATCACAGCCTAATGTCCTGAGCATCCTGGGAGCAGGAGTTTCATTCCTTACTCTGCCCCCTTCGGATCATTTCCTTGCTGGGTGCCCCACCCACAGGTTGTTGTGGGCTGGGTGGTCAGGGAAGGAGGGAAACCTCAGCTAGAGCCTAAGGGCAGGTAGGATTCAGGTGGGAAGGTGAGGAGGGGGCATGCGCATTCTAGGGGGAGAGACACCCAACCGGCAGACCCCCTCTGCCTTCCCGGGCATCCGGGGGTTCCGGAGGCCCCCTGTGTGAGCGGCCCTTGGCCTGGTTCTCTGTTCCGTTGCAGTGGGGCCGGGACAGCCGTCCCTGGTTCTCATGCCTGCTCCCCTCCGGGGGCTGTTTCTCCCCACAGGGTAACGGACGAAGTCTTTAACTTCCTACTGGTGTGGTATTACTGCACCCTGACGATTCGGGAGAGTATTCTTATCAGCAACGGCTCGAGGTAATTGGGGGCCCGGCTTTATGGGGGGCGTAGCGGCAGCCAAAGGGAACTCTGTCATGGAAGAGGCAGGTGAGGGCTGCTACCCTCAGCTGCATTCCCTTCCTCCTCGGGGATCCGTGACATTTCAGACCCAGGGAGGAGGAAAACCGTGCCTGCTACTGCAGCACCCTCGCTTGCCATGGTCAGTCTCTTGTTTACAAGAAACCCTAACTCAATATAACAGGACATTATCTTCTCATATTAAGAAACAGGTCCTTGGGGGCTGATGCAGGTAAGGCTTAATCCAGGTGCTCAATGTCTTCAGGACCCGCTTTCTCTCTGTCTCTCACCTCTGCCTTCTTGTGTTGTCTATTCTCAGGTTCTAGGTAGAGTTATCAGTTCCCAGCTCACGTCTTTATTTTTAGCATTCCCAGCAAAATAGGGCACATTCCTCTCTCGCAAGGTGTCTCACTGGGTCCTCTTGGTGTTCATTAGATCATGTGCCAATCACTGTAGCCAGAGAATGCACTTCTCTGATTGGCTGGGCTTGAGCCTCCTGCCCACCCCTCTAGCTGTCATTGGAAACCTAGAAGTTGAGTGTTAGGAGGGCCTGGTTCCCCACAGGAAAATTGGGATGAGGTCACTAGATGAGTGGATGAGCCGATTCTGGTGACAAGAGGGATGGTCCCCCACAGGGAGAGGAGTCTCAGGACTCTGTTGAGATCCATGGCTTGCCTTCCCCCTTCAGGACCTACTTTCCACAGTTCTGATTACTTTTCGGGGTGGCCACTTGAACCTCTGCACACCATTCTTGTCCCTATCGTTTCCCAAAACACGAAGGAACAACTTTCCAAACTCTTCCTCCTCCCTCCCTCCCAGGGGCTATAAAGAACAACCAGGAGCATGTATCTAATCCAAACCCTCAAATAATTTGCCACCTTCTCACTTTTCTGCCCAGTGGTCTCTAAGCAGGGCCTTACTCTGGACATAGAGCCATGAGGTAAGGACAGAGGAACGGCATGCAGCCCTGTAGCATGTAGCCTGTTAGAAAAGATCAGTGTTTCTCAAACTGCACTCACTCCTGTCCCATCCACGCCATTTTTGCCATGTCCTTGTATCACCTAGATGATCATTTCCCCACATTTTATTTTTTATTACATTTTTAAATTTTTAAAAATTGCTTTTTAGAGAGAGAGGAAGGGAGAGGGAGAGAGAGAAGCAACAATTTGAGAGTGAAACATCGATCAGCTGCCTCCTGCACACCCCCCACCAGGGATTGAGCGCAGATCCCAGCATGTGCCCTGACCAGGAATCGAACCTGCAACCTTTCGTGCGCTAGACGACGCCCAACCAACTGAACCACACCGGTCAGGGCATCGTTTTTCCCACATTCTAAATCAGCCGTCTCCTTTTTTTTTTTTTACTTAAATAAATATTTGTTTTAAAAGGAAGCTTTATTTCACCACTTTACATGGAAAACCAGCATCAATTACAGGAAAGAGGAAGTAGTATAAAAATATCTTTTTGTTTTCATTGTCTAATTTATTGAAGGCTCTGGGCTCTGGGCTTGTGTTTTTCCTTATGTGCGTTTGTTCATGTGTAGAAAGGGAGACGAACGGATGTAGAGACGCATTAAAGATATACTAGCATCTAACCAAGACCATCTCCTCGACTTAATCAGGAGAACGGAAAGAGATATAATTCAGTATCATCTGGTGCAAGCGTGAGTTTGACATGCTTGATCTAGTGTTACACTCAAATGTCATCTAGAACTCAGTGATACACACCCCATGCTTTGGGAAACACTTGTTAGAAAATCTTACCCAATAAATAACATTCATAGTTTGCCTGAATTTTAGTGACTAGTGGCTTTCTGCTTTGAGGTCTGGTTGGAGGGGAGCCAGGGTAGCATTTAGTGGAGAAACGGACCAGGGCATTTGGCAGGGCTTCCTGGTTACTAATGATCTTCCTGTGCCGTCAGTCTTGGAGTCTCACCCTCCTGATGGTCTCATAGTAAGAGTGTTCGGGGCCTGCTGTGTCTCTGATGGTCACTAACACTTTAGTAAGTTACTCTGGTCAGCTCTTTTTCTAGTGTGGTAAGCCATGGATGGGAGCAGGACTGAGGGGAGGTCCCTGCACGTGTGGGGCACACCAGGAAAATCAGAGGGGACAAAAGGAGGAAGTGGGGTTCCAAAGCCAAGCCTAAATATTTGCCTAACGCTTTTAGCTGGGGCTTTTCCAGGGCTTCTCTGGAATGCGTGCTCTGATGGGACAGCAGGAAGTGTTGTCTCTGAGCTTGTAATGCAAAGCTTTGCATGTGGGGCCACTCTGCCCCCTCACACTTGGCCCTTACGAGGGACTAGCTAAGAAACCAGTAAGAGAGCACAGTGAGGAGGAGGGAGGGGTGAGCTCTACCTTTCTCACCTCTGAAGCATCCCAAGGTCAGCTCAGGCGCTCAGCGTTGCTGCCCCATAAATGCCCCATGGTCTTTGTGGAAATGAATTCAACCCCAGCTCTGTGATGAGGCAGGGTCCGTGGGGCCTTACCGTGTTCTGAGGACAGGTGGAGCTGAGCCATATGGCTTCCTGGAGACTTGGTGCCCAGTTTTGGTGTGACTGAGCCTCTGTCATCTTGTTCCCTGTTGCACTTGGGACCTGAGTTAGAGGTACGGTCAGGGAAGCAGACCTAGAGAGGTGGGGGACTCCCCCCTTGTGGGATGGAGCCACCCTTGCTTTGTGTCTGATGCCTCCCATGTGAGAAGTAACTCATTAGCTTAGTTAGTGCGATAAGCAAGTCAGCTTCCCTTGCAGATTTGCAAATGATTGAAAACCACCTGATAGGAGTAACATGAAGGGGATTTATGGGAGCATACAAATAGTTCAAGGAGGTAAAAGGGGTTCAATGTTAATAGTCCCTCCTCCTTCTCCTTATTCTGTTGTCCCCTGATCTGGTTCCCAGCAGCCGGGGTCACCATCCTACTGGATCAGCAACCCCAGATTCCCTTTCCTTCCCAGATCTAGCTGTAATCTTGAGACAGACTCCTGATTGGCTAGGCTCAGGTCACATGCTCATCCCTGAGCCAATCACTGTGGCTGGCTCTGGGTCATGTGCCCAGTTATATTATTCAGCTGCACCCAAGCATCCTGACTGGGAGTGGCCGTGAATAGGTTCCCTGAAAGAAAGCTGAAGCCTGGTCTGCAATGGGGGTGATTGACAGACAGGCAAAACAGCAGATGTCTCCTGCAGTTAGTTCTGGGCCAGAACAAACAATGAATCAGGGATCATATTCATTTTTCTGGCTAACCAGCCTTGGGCACCTGGCTCTAACAAGCTTTTAAGGCATAGTGGTAGCTGGCAACGGAGGGAGCCTCAATGTAGAAGCCATTCCACCAACTGCCCAGATTACAGGAACGGCCTGCAGATGAATAGTGGCTGGTGCGGTATCCTCCACACACATCCAGATGTGGCCAAGGTGTCCTGTAGGGGGGCTGTGGTCTTCCTGGGCACAGTCCGCAGACACCAGGACTTGATTTCCCTACGTTCCGGCAGGAGTGCTCCATGCTTCCCGGGGCATCTACTGTCTGCTCCTGAAAAAGCCCGCCCGCCCTGCAAGCATCCTTTCTGTCCAAAACAGGCTCGGAGAGTGACTGCTACTGGTGCAGGTTTCTTTCTGGGGTGACAAGCATGTCCTAAAACTGATTGTGGTGACGTAGCACAACTCTGAATCTATATTTTAAATGGGTGAATTGGCCGAAACCGGTTTGGCTCAGTGGATGGAGCGTCGGCCTGCGGACTGAAGGGTCCCGGGTTCGATTCCGGTCAAGGGCATGTGCCTGGGTTGCGGGCACATCCCCAGTGGGAGATGTGCAGGAGGCAGCTGATCGATGTTTCTCTCTCATCGATGTTTCTGACTCTCTATCTCTCTCCCTTCCTCTCTGTAAAAAATCAACAAAATATATTTTTTAAAAAATGGGTGAATTGTATGGGTCTGAACTGTATCACAATAAAAGTGTAATACATACACACACACACACACACACACACAGACACACACACATGTGCAAAAAACCTGCCCAGAGCCCTGGGATGTGCAGACGGACGATGGGACCGGGGAAGAAATGACGTCTAGCTTCTCCCAGTGCCATTGAGTGGCAGCTGTCATCGCTGGGCTACGGGCACAGCAAGCTGTGAAATGAAAAGCTGCTGCTCAACCAAGCCTGTTGCCCAGAGCCTGTGTCAGGCTCAGGCCACTCCCAGGTGGAGAGAGGGCGTTTCTCCGGAGAGTTTGGAGACGAGGACAAAGGAGCACGGACTTGCCAGGACCCGAGGACTTGTGTGGGCTTCGCAGAGCTGGGGAGGTTCCACAGAGGTTTCCTGGGTGCTCTTCAAGCTAAAAGTCTGAGGTGGCCAACTGCCTTTTCTATCAGAAAACCAGTGCCAGGGGCCTCCTAGACTCTGACAGGCAAGACAGGGACACGAAGAGGGAGAGGCGGAACTGGGAAGTGAGTGGACGTCTTATCTTGTCCCATGAACTCCCGTGGCACCTGCAGCCATCTCCTGTCCCCTCTGTGCTGGTGGCATCCAGACCAGGTGTGGCTTTCCCCAGCTGCACCTCCTGGGCATCACCTCATGCATTTCAACATTTACTTCCTACTGTTTACCTAGTGCTGGTCATGCTAGGAATAAAGGAAAAAGCCTTGTCCTTCACCATAACCTTTGAGGGACCCACAGGCCATTGTCTGAACCTGATTTACACCCAGAGCTGTAATGGGGCTGCAAAGAGAAGAAGGGATGAGGAAGAGCCAGTCCCTGCTCTTATGATGTCTATATTCTTGTCGGGAGGTTTTAAGGCCACTTAAACCCCCGTTAGGACAATGCAAATGGAAATCTCAATGACACACCAATTTTTACCTAATAGGTTGGGCAGAAATTTTAAAATTTGGTTTCAGTCATTGGTGAGGGTTTGGGGAACCAAATTGTCTCCCCTACTGCTGATGGGAGTATAAATTGGGATTGAGATTTTGGGGGGCAACTTCTGAGCCAGTCATCCCGCTTCTTGGAGAAACAATGTCATCACACTAGGGACTTCCATGGGGGTGTCTTGGCAGCACCAAGAATGGTAGTGACCGTTAAGGAGCAACCACGTGGACTATGGCAGAGCCACATCCTGAAATGCCATGTGACAGGTCTATAGGTACCAGCCTGGGATCCAGATGAGAAAGCCAGTTGCAGGATGATTTAGTTAAAAAGAAAGTCTAATCCAGCAGCTCACCCCCCAAGCCAGCAGGTCCTCAGGCTCCTCCTTGTGAGCAGTGGTGCCCTGGACCCCCACCCCAGTGAGAGAGAGAAAGAGAGAGAGAGAGAGAGAGAGAGAGAGAGAGAGAGAGAGAGAGAAAGAAAGATATGGCTTGATACCTCCTATAGATGCCTCTGGTGTCCCAATCACTACAGCCCCATCCTTGGGAGGAGGGAGCCCTCCTGCTCCCAGGCTGTGTTTGGCAAAGCACATCCCTGCCGCCCTGTGTTCTGTTATCTGAGCTCCCAGAGAGGGACCAGGAAGGGCCAGCAAAGATGTGAGAAAATCTCAGGGACTTTGAAGGGCAAAGGCGTTGGGTCCAGCATCCCTCCCCGGCTGTGGAGTGAGAACCCTGAGCCGGAGGGACACTGGGCTCTGACAACAGGGTCCCCATAGCTTCTGGACGGGGTGGGGTGGAGTCCAGGGCTGGATGCGGGCTTGCAGTGGAAGGAGGAGCAGACTCGCCCAGGGTGTGGGCTCCCGGGAGCAGCTGCGGCTGGGGTGGTGTGAGGTGCTGCAAGTGCTGCTGGTAGCTGCAGCTCTGTGTCAAAGTGTGTGTGTTCTGTGTTTATTCAGCAAATTTACTGAGCACCTGCTCTGAGCAGGTGCATCAACGAACCAGACAGACAGGAATCTTGCGCTGCTGGAGCTGACATCTGAGTGGGGAAGGGGGTTCAGGAAACAAAGGAAAAAACAGTAAGAATTTCAGACAGCGGTGAGCACCGTGTGATCCAGTGGGGCTGTCTGGCTGACTTGGATAAAAGGTCGGGGAAGGTCTTGGAGGAGGTGACAGACAGAACTTGAACTTGGACCAGGAAGCCTGTAGGCCAAGGCCTGGGAGCAGAGAGAAAGTACAAAAGGCCCTCCCCATCGGCCAGCGCGGCTTCCATGACAAAATACACAGACAGGGCAGCTCCAACAGCAGAAATCCATTTTCTCTCAATCCTGGAAGCTCCGCATCCGGACCAGGGGGCCAGCCGGGCTGGTTTCTCCTGAGGCCTGTCCTTGGCTGGCAGACGGTCCCTGTGCCCTCCCGTGGCCTTTGCTCTGAGCACGCACACTCCTCGTGCGTCTCCTCCTCTTCTGAGGACACCAGTGCTATTGGATGGGGGCCCATCCTCATGACCTCATTCAGCCCCAGTGACCTCTGAAAAGACTCCCTCTCCTAATGTGGTCACATGGGGGGCTAGCGAGGGCTTTAGTCTGTGAGTTCTGGGGACACACAGTTGAGTCCATAACAGGTCCTGAGGTATCAGTGGTTCGAGGAGGAGGGGACAGGGAGGTGGGTATAGCCGTGCCGAGGTTAGGGCTGCGTGCTCAGGGTGCCTGGAAGCCTCTGTGGGTCTCCTGGCTCATCGATGCGTGGCTGAGTGTGGTTGTGCGTCTTCGTAGGACAGGGAGGGGGACAAAGTCCCCGCCCACCACACACACAGGCTGGGAAGCTGGGAGGTGCCTGCCTTTCTCTCCCCCCTGAGCTTCCCTTCTCTTGTTCTCTCCCGAGAATTAAAGGCTGGTGGGTGTCGCACCACTACGTGTCCACCTTCCTGTCTGGAGTGATGCTGACCTGGTGAGTGTCTCCTGCCCCGCCCCCACGCCTCCCCTTGCCCTCCCCAGGGGGCCGTGAATGGGGACTAGTCGTGGGTGAGGGGCCCAGATGGCTTTCCAAGGCCCTGGCCCCGGCTGGGCTGACTTCGGGGCCAAGGAGAGTGTGAGCTTACAGCAGAGCCCCAGGGAGTTTTCCTGGAAATGTACCTCCTCCTGCTGGCTGGGGCAGAGGGGACAGGGGCTTTCCAAGGCCCTGGCCCCGGCTGGGCTGACTTCGGGGCCAAGGAGAGTGTGAGCTTACAGCAGAGCCGGGAGCAAGGCTGGGGCAGAGGGGACAGGGAGCAAGGCTGGGGCGGAGGGGACAGGGAGCAAGGCTGGACAGCAGCACAAGGACGAGGCTGTGGCACCGAGGCGTCAGGCACAGAGGGAGGGGGGACCTGTGGGACCTTAGGCTTCAAAACTACACGCTCCCAGGGACACGGGTGGTAAAGAAGGGTAGACACTGGGATTTGGGTTTCAATGTAAAACCCTTCCCTCTCTCCCAGCGGGAACAGGATGGGCGGGATGGATGTCTGATTCCCCAGGACCCCTCACCTTCTCCCCCACCTCTCTGCAGGCCCAACGGACTAATCTATCAGAAGTTTCGCAGTCAGTTTTTAGCGTTTTCCATATTTCAGAGTGAGTGTCTCTTGCCTACATTCAGGGGAGGGGGCACGGGGTTCCCTGTGGAGGCCCCGTCCCTGGGAGGGATGTGTCTTTCCTGGAGGGGAGAGGGCACTGGGGGAGGTCCCTGGAAATCCAAAGAGCTACCTGCCCCCCAGGTCAACTCCATCCTACCCCTCCACCCCCAGCCTCTAGCGATGGCCTGCCCCATTGCCCCCTGGAGCCCCAGTCACCGCCTCTTTCTTCTCCCAACCAATCGCCACCTCTGAGAACCCACTGGTGTTGGGGCACTAACTTTGTTTTCCTTAAAATGGAAATATATGTTCTTTTTTCTCATTTAGGAACAGCCCTGGATTTATATACAATGCACTGCCCCGGGGGTCGGGGAGCTGGAATGGTTGGCCACAGGGAGAGCGAGTTTTACTTTTCACCATAGACCTGTTTGTTCCCTTTGAATTTTATACCGTGTGCATATTGCCCACTCAAAAAAATACAACTTAATTTTTAAATAAAACCCTGCTTACGAACAAGTCCAAATATATAAAGCTGAGAATGAAAATTATGTACAGTCTCGCCCTTGGGGTGACCACTGGTAATAGGTCTATGTCCTTTCTAACATTTTACTCCCAAATACGTATATGCATATATACTGCATTATGTATAGTCCACCAACACGGGATCCCTCTGTACATACAGCTTTGCATGTAACCTGGGAAACAATTACCATGGGCTTTTTTCACCCTCAGTACAAGTATCCCATTGTAAGGAACTGTCTCTTGCTGATCTGGCATTGCACACAGCTCCCAGCCCGGTGCAAGCCTCTTTTGAGTGCCTACTGCATGCCTAGGAAAGCTCTAGAAGTTTCTATTTGAGAGAGAGGGAGGGGTGTGGGTGGGAGAGGGCTGTACCCTCTGGTCTGTGAAGACCCACCCCTTTGCGGTGGAAGTGTCACTCAATCCTCCGCGTGCTGCGCTCCCCCTGCAGGCTGTGTCCAGTTCCTGCAATATTACTACCAGAGGGGCTGCCTCTACCGGCTGCGGGCTCTGGGGGAAAGGAACCATTTGGACCTCACTGTGGGTGAGTAGCCGACCTGGGGGGTGGAGGCACAAGTACTGGCCCCTGCCGGCTCCCCCAGATCTGACTCCTAACTCCCCACAGTGGGAGCATGTGCCGGTGAGGACATAACAGAACCTCCCACACATGAAGGCAGGGCTGCTGGCCTCTACCCAAGTTGCTTTTCATAATTCGTTGTGGATTCTGTTTTAGTGAAGTGTGAGACCAGCTGTGTACCCTCAGTGCTGGCTTCTCTCTTATCCTTTTAAAATGTCTATTTTTTGTCTGTGATTTATAATAAAAATATACTATATATATATGTTAGCCCAGTGCTGTTGTACATATATAACCGATGTGTAATATGTCTGCATATAAATATATATCAACATATACATATATACACATTGGGAATGTGTGTGAACTTTTAAAAATATTTTTTTTTATTTATTAAAAAATTTTTTTAAATTTATTTCAGAGAGGAAGGGAAAGGGAGAGAATAGAAACATCAATGATGAGAATCATTGATTGGCTGCCTCCTGCACGCCCCCTACTGGGGATCGAGCCCTCAGGATGTGCCCTGGCCAAGAAGTGAACCGTGACCACCTGGTTCATAGGTCAGCACTCAGTCACCGAGCCACCCCGGCCGGCCGTGTGTGTGTAACTTTTTATCTCATAGGGTTGGGTGCCCAATCAGAAAAGCTTGGAGACCTTTCATCTAAGCTCTCAGGGGAAACTATTTTTAATAAAACTCTGCTATCTCTTAAAATGGTCATTTCTATTGAATTGCTCCACAAAGTAGGCCTTGCTTTGTCAAGACTCGATTGAAATGATGCATTTGAAAGTTCACTATAAAGTGCAAACTAAAGGAAATTTTAAACAGTCCCTGGCACATCAGCGTTCCGTAAGTGTTGTCAAGCCTACTTGTCCTTGGTGACTTCAGGCTGAGCTGTCAGGCCTGGTGACGGGCGCTCTGCATGCTCTCTGGGCGATTCTCATGGTGAGCGCTCCCACACCTGTAAGAGCTGAGGGCTGTCCCCCCGCGCTGTCTGTCTGTGCCTAGCTGATCTAGGGGTGACTGGCACGGCCAAGCAGTGGGCGCTTGGTGGGTCCCTCACACAGGCCTTCGCCCTCTCCCTCCTCCACAGAGGGATTCCAGTCCTGGATGTGGCGGGGCCTCACCTTCCTCCTGCCTTTCCTGTTCTTTGGCCATGTGAGTACCCTGGAGTCTGTGGGTGTCCCCTACTCTGGGGTGACCTCCAGGAACACAGTGTCTGTTGCCTCTCCCTCATGTCCCCATTCACCAGCCATCCCCGGGCTGGGCCTCATGGGTTCCCAGGCTATGGCAGGCCCTGGGTCCAGGGAGCCCAAAGGCAGGGCCAGAACTGGCCCTCAGGCTGCTCTGGCCTAGGGTGCCCCAGTTTCATTTGGGGGGTTTCAGTGTCTCAGGGCAGTGGCTACCAGAAGCTGGGGTCCTGGTGCCTCACCCGGGGGTTTCCCATGTGGTGTCCAGGGGAACTGGGACTGAGCAGTGCCCCCCCGCCCCCCCCCCTGCAGTTCTGGCAGCTCTACAATGCAGTCACGCTCTTCAAGCTTTCCAGCCACGAGGAATGCAGAGAATGGCAGGTATGGGTGTGTGTGTGTGTGTGTGTGTGTGTGTGTGTGTGTGTGAGGGTGGTCCTGGGGAACAGTGTGTATGTGGAGGGGCAGGGGGAGGTCCTGGGGAAGGCTGGGCTGACTTGGGGGAAATTATTTCCGTAGCCGCCTGCCCCCTTTGCTCTCCTCCATGGGGCCCAGACTCTGCTGCTGGGCCTGGGAGCCCCTCAGGGGTGGCTCCCCATTGAACACTCCCCAGGGCCCGGCCTGACCCCAGGACTCAGGTCCTTCACCCAGTTGGCCCGGATGTCTGCCTTCCGCCTGCAAAACCTTGCAGTTGGTGGGTGGCTTGTGCTAGGGGTTCTGAGGTCTGGGGTGGGGTGGCACCCCAGCAGGGCGAGCTGGTCAGAGCCGGCACGGCCTGTTCCTCCTTCCCCTCTGCACTCTGTCCCGCCAGGTGTTCGTGTTGGCAATCACCTTCCTGGTCCTCTTCCTGGGCAACTTCCTGACCACCCTCAAAGTGGTGCACACCAAGCTCCAGAAGAACAGGAACAAGGCGAAGACGCCGTGAGCCGCGGGGCTGCGCCCCCGAGCCCGGGACTTTGAGACTGCGGGGGTCTCCGTCGGCACCCTCGCTGCCGATTCCTCCTCAGCAGCGCCAGTGGCCACTGGTGCAGTGACCTCAGGGGCCAGTGGCCTCCCCGGGAGCAGGGCCAAGGCCCGAGTCCCCGACTGGACAAGAGAAATGTGACCCAGCCTGTCCGAGCAGTATTAGCCACCCTTCCTATTTATGACGTATTTAATGCCGCGCCCTCCCCACCTCCCTAGAATCGAAGCCCCCGCTGCTCTTGGCCGGACTGTCTTCCCGGGAGAGGCAACGCCTCAGGGAGCCCCTCTGTCCCCCGTCCTGGCACTTGAAGCCCTCAGGGCAGGGTGTGGACATGCCTCCTGCGGTTGGATGTGTGACCTGTTGCTTACAGAGTCGCAGGCGGAGGCGGGAGGAGGGCCCCGGGAGTCCGGTGGGGACTCCCTCCCCAGCACACGCTTCTGCTGTCGGCTCCCGCCTCCTCCCAGCCTCCGTTTCTCTGTGGGCGGGTATCTACCTTCTCAGAGAACCGCTGTTGTGCCTTGTGCTCCTTGTGCTTCCTGAGTCCCCTGACTGCCGGTCACCTGGGGAAAGTGGCCGGGCCGGCCTGAGGCCTGGGGTTCTTGGCCCCTGGAGCAGCTGGGCCCAAGGCAGGCAGGGTTTCTGAGTCACCACCAGAGGGCGCCCCAGCCCCGGCACCATGTGGGTGGTTTGAGGGCGTTACTTGACACTTCCTGACCCTCAACCCGCAGCCCATCTTCCCCGAATCCTTGCAGTGGGAACTCAGAGTGAGACCCAGACCCTCAGCGCTGGCCGGGACTTCAGCCAGCACCACTGTCACCCAGCCCTCCATCACCTCCCTTACTCAGAGGTTCCGGAAATTGGGGTGGGGGGTGTCTGAGCAACCTCACTTTCAGGAGGTCACACAGGGCAAGGTTCCTGGTCACCTCACGGTAGATTCTGAATTGGAGGGTGAAGAAGCCAATTTTCTGCCCCTTCTCCCACACCTGAGCCTCATCTGCCCTTAACGACTTCCCTATAAATCCTCTTGGACCAGAAGTCATAGCTGGTGTCCACAGCTATGCTGTGGCCCTCAAAGGGGTTTAAAAGTTTTTAAATTAGTTACATTTTTAAAATATGGAATCCACCCCCAGTAAGATTCCACATAAAAATCCAGATCTTGACTTTCCCTAGATAACTGGAAAGCCCTGGCCGCGTTCCCACAGAACAGCCCTCACCTGGGCTGCCTGCCTGCCCGGAGTGGTGCTTGCTTTCTAGTTTGCGGAGACCCCACCACTCCCTCCTATCCCCGCCCTCCTTCACTCTCCACGCCGCCCATCTGGCCCTTTAAGAACTTGGGTTTGCCCTAGACTCGCGTTGGCAACCTTTTCCTGTGACGGGCCAGATGGTCTCAGTCACAATGACTTTAGCCTGCAGTTGTGGGGCAAAAGCAGCCCACGCATAAATGAATGGGCATGACTGTGTTCCAATAAAACTTTATTTACAAAAACACACAGCGGCCGGAGTTGGCTCACAGGCCATAGTTTGCTGACCTCTGTTCTAGACCCTCATTTGTCCACGAGGCCCTGGACTCTGCTGGAACCAGAGGTCCTTGGTCTGAACGCTCTGGTGAGTCCCCATGGGGGGGCCTCCGGGAACCTCGGTGGGGTGCGGTGGGCTGAGAGGTCTTGCCCTAGCAGGTGACTTCAGAGAAGCTCAGGCTTAGGCACAGCACTGGGCACAGGGTGCGGAGGCAGAGATACCCGGGGAGCAGGAGCCACCTGGAGCCATCACCCCACCTTGGGTAGCGCTGACTCCAGAGTGAGCTCAGGACCAAGCAGCTGTCAGTCTCTGGGGTACTGGAATCCCCTGGGGCACTTTAAACAAATTCCTGGGTCCCTGAACCCAGACCTTCCAGAAGGAAGTTCCGTGAATCTGCGGCTGGGGGGTCCGTCAGTCAAGTCCGATCTTGAAGGAGGCCAGGGTGGCCTCGGCTCTGGAACACATCCCCCAGCAGTGGGGGCTGAGGGGCAGCGGGGCTAGACGACTCCTTTGCAGACAGGGACACAGTCTCAGGACTGGCCTGCCCACGATCAGGAGCTGCTGTCACTTCATCTGAGTTTCTGGCAGTGGGGGCTGCAGGTGAGGAGACCCCGGGGCAGGGGTCGGATGGGTGGTCCACGGTGTTTGCTCTGCTTTCCGAGTCTCTTCTCCCCCTGGTCATGTGCACCCGGATCTGGGCAGATGTCGGCCAGGCCAAAGGCTGCCACTGAAGTCCTCTGCGTAGGGTGGGCGGGGGCGATGCAATTCCTGTGTCCGTGTCCGGGGCTGCGTTCTCCTGATAGGCCTGGTTGCATCGTGGCCCGGCGCTCCCGGGGGAAGGAAGCGAGACCGGAGGATGCAGCCCTGCCTATCTCCCCAGCCCAGGGCCGTGGGGCGCTGCCAGATCCACAGTGGCCCACGGACCAGTGTAGTTGGTTGTTTCAAGCACAGGCTTTGAGGACCTATTGGGTGATTGAAGGGGGACACGTGGCTGGGGGGAGAGTGCAAAGAGGGCACGCCAAAGTCCTGGGGACAGATGCCAGTTCCAGGGCACAGAGGGCCCGAGTCCGCACACTCGCCCACCACCACACAGGCCACAGCTCGAGCTCCTGGTCAGAGCCCAGCTGGGAAAGGAGAAAGTTCCAGACCATCCAAAGAGTCTTGCCACAGGCTCCAGACACAACTCCGAGTGCCCTTCGCGAGCTGGGGGTGGGCAGGTCCCGGGGAGTAGCCGGCCGGGCCCTGTCAGTCCTGTTCTGTTCTGAGGGCTGAGTGCCCGCCCCGAGGGGTCAGAGCAGCAGGCACCGCCGGGGGTGTTTCTGCCGCTGCGCTTTCTTCAGGGCGCTGAGGGCCACCTTGGCGGCCTCTCGGAAGACGTCCTCCACGTTCTCCCGAAACTTGGCGGAACATTCCAGGTAGAGGGCGGCTTGCATTTGCTGGCAGGTGTTCAGGCCCTGGGGGAGGAGGGAACAGCATTCGATGTGGGGCCTGGAGCCTGGGGCGCCTCCTGACACCCCCTGGTGGGCTTGGGGCTGGCTTTAGGGGCTGTGGGGCCTTGGTGTGGGGCCCCTCTTGCTCCCTCCCAACCTCCCTCCCACCCTCCTTCCCAACTCAGGCAGAAACGGGGCGGGGGGGTGGGGGGGGGATGAATTCTGAGAACGGGGTTGTCTGTCCTGTCTGTCAGGCCTGTGAGGAGAGGTGGGCTTCCTCCCCAGACCTCTCTCCCTTCTGGAAAGCACCGTTTAGGCAACGGAGCTTGTCATTAGAATTAAAAATACCTATTTCTAAAACAGATTTACTTTTATTCATGCTTATTCCCTGTTATTAAACCTTATTAGATTTGCTTCATGTTCCCTTCATCCTCCCATGCCTCAGGAAGCCACGGGACTCTCACGAGTTGGGGGAAGGCTGCTTTTGAACAAGGGCCCGCCCCTGGGGTCCCCTCGGGAGACGGGACAGGATGATGGCTAAGGGCCCAGACTCTGGAGCCATGGTGACTGGGACGGCATCCTCGATTCGCTTCAGGTTAGCTGTGTGACCCTGGGCAAGCTCCTTAACCTCTCTGGGTCTCAATTTATCTCCCCATAAAATGGGGAGCACTAACAGTATCTGCCTCGGGGTATTGGATTAAATAAAGTGCTCAGAGATGTGGGCTCTCAATATTCTACAGCTGTTATTCTCAGAATCCTGTTTGCTTCCACTGTGCGAAGGGCCAGAGGCACCCCGTTGCAGAGGCCAAAGGCCTGGGCGTCTTTTCAGCCACAGCTGTGCCGGGGACCTGGGCTCCTGGTGGGGAAGGGGAGGGAGGGACCCCGAGCCCACCTGCGTGTAGGTGATGGGCTCCAGCTGGGCCGCCCGCAGCTTCCGCAGCTGCTCCTTGTCCTTCCTCAGGTCCGTCTTGCAGCCAATGAGCACCATGGGGGTCCCACGGCAGAAATGCGTGACCTCGGGGAACCACTGTGGAGGGAGAGGCTGGGCATCAGGGCTGGGGCTGGGGCTGGATCCGAGGCCCCCAACCGGGGGGCAGGCCTCACCTTGATGAGGACGTTGTCATAGCTGGTGGGGTTCATGACGTCATAGCAGATGAGCACCAGGTGGGTGTTCTGGTAGGAGAGGGGCCGCAGCCGGTCGTAGTCTTCCTGCCCTGAAACCAACCGGAGAGCAGGTGGGGGTCAGGGAGGCTCCCCTCCTTGTCCACCTGAGTCCCTGGTCTGGGCTCAGAAGGGCCAGGGGTTTGGGGGTCTGCCGGACAAGTAACACCTGCTAGGGCTTCAGTTTTGTCCTGTGGAAAACAGGTGGCCGCCCGCTGTCCTGGACGGCAGCGAGGATGGCATGAGAGAAAACCCAGCAGTAAGTGCTGAAAAGCCACGAGCAATTACTCTGGAGACGGTCACCCCGCCCCCAACCCTCTTACCCCCCTACCCTGTGCTCAGGCTGAAGTCACATCACCCTCCCCCAAAACAAAGTTAGAAGAGGGTGCCCCCCAATTCCCGGAGGTGGGTGGCCTCAGGTGAAGTTCATCCTGCCATTCTGGCCACTGCTAGGAAGAGTGGGGGCGGCTGGAAATAGCAGCAAGTTTCTCACCTGAACTCACCTGAACCCTCTCCCCCACCCCCCAGGGCACATCAGACTCACCCCCAGGCTGGGCTGGAGCAGTGGTGGGGTTTTTGTTTGTTTTATTATATATATATAAATATATTTTATTGATTTTTTACAGAGAGGAAGGGAGAGGGATAGTTAGAAACATCGATGAGAGAGAAACATCGGTCAGCTGCCTCCTGCACACTCCCCACTGGGGGTGTGCCCGAAACCAAGGTACAAGCCCTTGACTGGAGCCAAACTGGTCATGGCTGTTTTAATATATTTTTATTTATTTTATACAGCAGTGGTTCTCAACCTTGGCTGCACATTAGAATCACCTGGCC